AGTACCAGCACCGTTGCTGCAGTACCAATACCAGCACCATTGCTGCAGTACCTGTACCAGCACCGTTGCTGCAGTACCAGTACCAGCACCATTGCTGCAGTACCTGTACCCACACGTTGCTGCAGTACCAGTACTAGCACCATTGCTGCAGTACCAGTACCAGCACCGTTGCTGCAGTACCAGTACCCACACGTTGCTGCAGTACCAGTACCAGCACCATTGCTGCAGTACCTGTACCAGCACCGTTGCTGCAGTACCTGTACCAGCACCGTTGCTGCAGTACCAGTACCAGCACCGTTGCTGCAGTACCAGTACCAGCACCATTGCTGCAGTACCTGTACCAGCACCGTTGCTGCAGTACCAGTACCAGCACCGTTGCTGCAGTACCAGTACTAGCACCATTGCTGCAGTACCAGTACCAGCACCGTTGCTGCAGTACCAGTACCCACACGTTGCTGCAGTACCAGTACCAGCACCATTGCTGCAGTGCCTGTACCAGCACCGTTGCTGCAGTACCAGTACCAGCACCACTGCTGCAGTACCAGTACCCGCACCGTTGCTGCAGTACCAGTACCAGCACCATTGCTGCAGTACCAGTACCAGCACCATTGCTGCAGTACCAGTATCAGCACCATTGCTGCAGTACCAGTACCAGCACCATTGCTGCAGTACCAGTACCCACACGTTGCTGCAGTACCAGTACCAGCACCATTGCTGCAGTACCAGTACCCACACGTTGCTGCAGAACCAGTACCAGCACCATTGCTGCAGTACCAGTACCAGCACCATTGCTGCAGTACCAGTACCAGCACCATTGCTGCAGTACCAGTACCAGCACCATTGCTGCAGTACCAGTACCAGCACCATTGCTGCAGTACCAGTACCAGCACCATTGCTGCAGTACCAGTACCAGCACCATTGCTGCAGTACCAGTACCAGCACCATTGCTGCAGTACCAGTATCAGCACCATTGCTGCAGTACCAGTACCAGCACCATTGCTGCAGTACCAGTACCCACACGTTGCTGCAGTACCAGTACCCACACGTTGCTGCAGTACCAGTACCAGCACCATTGCTGCAGTACCAGTACCCACACGTTGCTGCAGTACCAGTACCAGCACCATTGCTGCAGTACCAGTACCAGCACCATTGCTGCAGTACCAGTACCAGCACCATTGCTGCAGTACCAGTACCAGCACCATTGCTGCAGTACCAATACCAGCACCATTGCTGCAGTACCAGTACCCACACGTTGCTCCAGTACCAGTACCAGCACCATTGCTGCAGTACCAGTACCCGCACCGTTGCTGCAGTACCAGTACCAGCACCATTGCTGCAGTACCAGTACCCGCACTGTTGCTGCAGTACCAGTACCAGCACCATTGCTGCAGTACCAGTACCCGCACCGTTGCTGCAGTACCTGTACCAGCACCATTGCTGCAGTACCAGTACCAGCACCGTTGCTGCAGTACCTGTACCCGCACCGTTGCTGCAGTACCAGTACCAGCACCATTGCTGCAGTACCAGTACCAGCACCATTGCTGCAGTACCAGTACCCGCACCGTTGCTGCAGTACCTGTACCAGCACCATTGCTGCAGTACCAGTACCAGCACCGTTGCTGCAGTACCTGTACCCGCACGTTGCTGCAGTTCCAGTACCAGCACCATTGCTGCAGTACCAGTACCAGCACCGTTGCTGCAGTACCTGTACCCGCACCGTTGCTGCAGTACCTGTACCAGCACCATTGCTGCAGTACCAGTACCAGCACCATTGCTGCAGTACCAGTACCAGCACCATTGCTGCAGTACCAGTACCAGCACCATTGCTGCAGTACCAGTACCAGCACCATTGCTGCAGTACCTGTACCAGCACCATTGCTGCAGTACCAGTACCAGCACCATTGCTGCAGTACCTGTACCCACACGCTGCTGCAGTACCAGTACCCACACGTTGCTGCAGTACCAGTACCCACACGTTGCTGCAGTACCAGTACCAGCACCATTGCTGCAGTACCTGTACCAGCACCGTTGCTGCAGTACCAGTACCAGCACCATTGCTGCAGTACCAGTACCCGCACGTTGCTGCAGTACCAGTACCCACACGTTGCTGCAGTACCAGTACCCGCACCATTGCTGCAGTACCTGTACCAGCACCATTGCTGCAGTACCTGTACCCACACGTTGCTGCAGTACCTGTACCAGCACCATTGCTGCAGTACCAGTACCAGCACCATTGCTGCAGTACCAGTACCCACACGTTGCTGCAGTACCAGTACCATTGCTGCAGTACCAGAACCCGCACCGTTGCTGCAGTACCAGTACCAGCACCATTCCTGCAGTACCAGTACCCGCACCATTGCTGCAGTACCAGTACCCACACGTTGCTGCAGTACCAGTACCCACACGTTGCTGCAGTACCAGTACCCACACGTTGCTGCAGTACCAGTACCAGCACCATTGCTGCAGTACCAGTACCAGCACCATTGCTGCAGTACCAGTACCAGCACCATTGCTGCAGTACCAGTACCCACACGTTGCTGCAGTACCAGTACCAGCACCATTGCTGCAGTACCTGTACCCACACGTTGCTGCAGTACCAGTACCAGCACCATTGCTGCAGTACCAGTACCCGCACGTTGCTGCAGTACCAGTACCCACACGTTGCTGCAGTACCAGTACCAGCACCATTGCTGCAGTACCAGTACCAGCACCATTGCTGCAGTACCAGTACCCACACATTGCTGCAGTACCAGTACCAGCACCATTGCTGCAGTACCAGTACCCACACGTTGCTGCAGTACCAGTACCAGCACCATTGCTGCAGTACCTGTACCCACACGTTGCTGCAGTACCAGTACCAGCACCATTGCTGCAGTACCAGTACCCGCACGTTGCTGCAGTACCAGTACCCACACGTTGCTGCAGTACCAGTACCAGCACCATTGCTGCAGTACCAGTACCCGCACGTTGCTGCAGTACCAGTACCCACACGTTGCTGCAGTACCAGTACCCACACGTTGCTGCAGTACCAGTACCCACACGTTGCTGCAGTACCAGTACCAGCACCATTGCTGCAGTACCAGTACCCACACGTTGCTGCAGTACCAGTACCCACATGTTGCTGCAGTACCAGTACCAGCACCATTGCTGCAGTACCAGTACCCACACGTTGCTGCAGTACCAGTACCCGCACGTTGCTGCAGTACCAGTACCCACACGTTGCTGCAGTACCAGTACCCACACGTTGCTGCAGTACCAGTACCAGCACCATTGCTGCAGTACCAGTACCCACACGTTGCTGCAGTACCAGTACCCACATGTTGCTGCAGTACCAGTACCAGCACCATTGCTGCAGTACCAGTACCCACACGTTGCTGCAGTACCAGTACCAGCACCATTGCTGCAGTACCAGTATCCACATGTTGCTGCAGTACCAGTACCCACACGTTGCTGCAGTACCAGTACCAGCACCATTGCTGCAGTACCAGTATCCACATGTTGCTGCAGTACCAGTACCCACACGTTGCTGCAGTACCAGTACCAGCACCATTGCTGCAGTACCAGTATCCACATGTTGCTGCAGTACCAGTACCCACACCGTTGCTGCAGTACCAGTACCCACACCGTTGCTGCAGTACCTGTACCAGCACCATTGCTGCAGTACCAGTACCAGCACCATTGCTGCAGTACCAGTACCCACACATTGCTGCAGTACCAGTACCAGCACCATTGCTGCAGTACCAGTACCCACACGTTGCTGCAGTACCAGCACCAGCACCATTGCTGCAGTACCAGTACCCACACGTTGCTGCAGTACCAGTACCAGTACCATTGCTGCAGTACCAGTACCATTGCTGCAGTACCAGTACCCACACATTGCTGCAGTACCAGTACCCACACGTTGCTGCAGTACCAGTACCAGCACCATTGCTGCAGTACCAGTACCAGCACCATTGCTGCAGTACCAGTACCAGCACCATTGCTGCAGTACCAGTACCCACACGTTGCTGCAGTACCAGTACCAGCATCATTGCTGCAGTACCAGTACCCGCACCATTGCTGCAGTACCAGTACCCACACGTTGCTGCAGTACCTGTACCAGCACCATTGCTGCAGTACCAGTACCCACACGTTGCTGCAGTACCTGTACCAGCACCATTGCTGCAGTACCAGTACCCACACGTTGCTGCAGTACCAGTACCCACACGTTGCTGCAGTACCAGTACCCACACGTTGCTGCAGTACCAGTACCAGTACCATTGCTGCAGTACCAGTACCAGCACCATTGCTGCAGTACCAGTACCCACACGTTGCTGCAGTACCAGTACCAGCACCATTGCTGCAGTACCAGTACCCACACGTTGCTGCAGTACCAGTACCAGCACCATTGCTGCAGTACCAGTACCCACACGTTGCTGCAGTACCAGTACCAGCACCATTGCTGCAGTACCAGTACCAGCACCGTTGCTGCAGTACCAGTACCATTGCTGCAGTACCAGTACCCACACGTTGCTGCAGTACCAGTACTAGCACCATTACTGCAGTACCAGTACCAGCACCATTGCTGCAGTACCAGTACCCACACGTTGCTGCAGTACCAGTACCAGCACCATTACTGCAGTACCAGTACCAGCACCATTGCTGCAGTACCAGTACCATTGCTGCAGTACCAGTACCAGCACCATTGCTGCAGTACCTGTACCAGTACCATTGCTGCAGTACCAGTACCAGCACCGTTGCTGCAGTACCAGTACCATTGCTGCAGTACCAGTACCAGCACCGTTGCTGCAGTACCTGTACCAGCACCATTGCTGCAGTACCAGTACCAGCGCCGTTGCTGCAGTACCAGTACCAGCACTGTTGCTGCAGTACCAGTACCAGTACCATTGCTGCAGTACCAGTACCAGCACCATTGCTGCAGTACAAGTAGTCACACTTAAGAAATAAAACAGAAGCCCCTATTGTCAGTTAATTTCAAGCATAGTGCTGTAACTTTATTAACAGAATTGATAGCCACAGAGTGCATCATATCTTGACAATACAGTAGCTAATAAATTATACAGGATAGGAATATTATATTAAGTATGTAAAATCCTTACAGCAGGCACGGGGAACCACTGCCCTGCATCATGAGTGGAATCTGGCCCTTATACCGAGATTTGTTTAATGTCACCTGAAGCAAATATGGTGTGTAAGAACTTCCGTCTGCGCAATGTATTTTACAAAGTCTCATGGGAATTAAGGAAATTATCGTAAAAGTTATATGGTTATACTGTATTTATACCCAAAATAATTTGAAAGCAAAATGATGTGGACGAGGGCTATAGGCGGCAGGTTCTCTACACCTGCTATACACCACGTACTACCTGTATGCACAACAACATTGCTTAGGAACACACTATTCCACTGTGTGTGCAATAATTAATCTCAATACCAGCAACTCTTACTTTCCACATACAACCAACCTACAATATAGTAAGAATTTTTAGCATCATATAAATAAAGTGTATTTTTATGAAACATTTCTCTCCCAACAAAATTGCCGTAGGAAGGAGAGAGAACTACGGAGAAGCCTTGCCGCACCCTTATCTAAACGTCTTTGAACTCCCCTTATTTTCGGCTGGAACCTGGTTCTTCTTATAACCCTTTACTTCCCTTTATCAAAATGCTGGTCACCTTTCCATCTTTCTATCTCCCTGTACCAAATTTTTGCAACACTTTCTACTAATGAATCAACCTTTCTCTTTTAAGTCTAAGCCATTATGAGGTATTTACCCCAACCTAATTTTTGGCAGTGCCATCACAACTTTCATGTACAATATCTCCACATTTCTTACTCCTTCCTCTCAGATCTGCCCTTCTTTAAAGAGGTCCCTCCTCAGGCACTTGTACTGCATACATTCTTAAATTTGTTCATCATGTACCTTATCTCAGGTACATTACACACTTCACCCCTATTTTTCTATCTCCGTGTGTTGTCAGCAAAACATGGATACCAAGTATCAAATTTCCTGCAATACTTCATCTAACTTGACAATATTTCAGGTGTATCAAAATCTGTTTTTATCCAATAAGGCAAAGCAAAATATAAAAAATATAAAATAAACAAATGTTTATGTACAACCATAGATACAAACTTAGGCATATGCATACATTTCAGTTTATTTTTATGACAGGAAAAAACCCAGAACTGAAACATTTCTTTACTGCATTACATAAACTTTCCTATTTCATATTTTTTATTTTAAGTACTGTATAAGCTCGCTTAACTGAATCTTTGGGTTATCCGGCAGTTTTTCAGAAATGCTGGTGAAAGAGAGAGGATGTGACAATGGCTTGAGATACAAACTGCCCAGGATATGGTATGATGAGCGAAGAAGAGATTCTCTAGTGTGTTAATGGTGAAGTGGATGAAGAGGAGAAGGAAGATAACAATGAGGAACCAACACCACAGACAACAAAATTCACTCATTTCTTCTGTTGACATGGTAATTAATTTTTCGTCCAACTGTGCTAATCCAGAAGTTGGAAACATGAATCAGTACCTGAAACGAACCAGAGCTGATCATAAGAGAGGCCAATGTACACAGAAGGCAAGGTAAACTTGATTCATATTTGGTAAGAACAGCAACCAAAGGCCCTGCAACCACTGAAGCATCACAAGCCAGCCAAGAGCCTTCAACTAGTGAGACTTCAGCAGCTGCCAGTCAAAATTAACCTTGACAACCTCATGTACTCTACAGTAATTTTAAGTATTAATTTTAATGTTGTTTTAGGTTAGGTTACGTAAATTTTCAACAATTCTTAACTTAAAGATTTGTAGCATCACTCAAGAAGACAAACTACAACAAGGTAAGCTTGAGTTTCTGTTTAAAATAAATTACTGTACTTTACTTGAGTATTTTATAATTATAGTCTGTGTGGCAATTCAAATTATGTTGGTTGTGATAGAAAAAATTGAGAATATGTTAACTTTTGAACTTCCCCGGTAAGAATTCTGCTTATCCACATGTCTGGCTTAGGACCAAGGGATCGTTCCCATATAATTAGGATAAGTGAGCTTATACAGTGCATGTAAACTGCTTAGAAACATATTTCCAATTAAGTTCATATTTGTCATGCTGCATCAGCACAATTTGCTTCTTTAAAGATAATGACAAAAACTATCAAAAGTTAGAAAGTTTTCTATTTGACTGAAGTGACCCATATTGTTATTTCCACTCACAAGCAATTTCTGTATTATTACGTCTTGATATACCTATCTTTCCAAAAGCAGGAAAAGGCAATTTACAATCCTACTCCAGATTAAACACTCATAATAATAACATCCATTGAGAATTTTGCTAAGGAATAATAATCTTACCAATTACTTTTTCTGGAGTGCCTGTACACGAGCATCAAGATTGGCAACATTGTTATGAATGATTTCAAGGTTCTGAGAAAATTTCTCTTGCACACTAGCTAGTAAGTCTGCATTGGAATGTAGAGCTGCGCCAAGGCGAGTCTGCGCGACATCTAGTTGCTTCAGTGATCCACTAAACTGCATAGCTGTAGCAAAGAGCAAGTATTAGTATCGTCCTGTACTGTATAATTAAAAAAAAAAAAAAGTTAATTATCATACATCACTTCTTTCTGAGAGGCCACTTAATTAATTCACGAACTAGGGCCATTGTCCACCCAGGACACTGCCCTCACACCAGGCTCTCATCAACCTGTACTGTATGGTGAGATAGAACCTTTCAGTCTTGTTACCTTTTTTGAGGAGGGGACACAAAGTTGATAGTTACCATCAAGGTAACTACTCACTGACAAAATAGATCATACCAATTAGCATAAATAAACACATTAATGAACATTAATGCACACACAAGGATAGCAGTTAGTTAACTTATCACTATGATTGCTACTATAGGGTACCAGCTCTCACAATAAAGGTGGAAGAGAGGATTACCAAAACATGCTCAGGATGTCGGGACTTGAAGAATAATAAAGGGAGTGAGTGATGGGCCACTTGCAAAGGAGTATTTCATGATGCTCAAAACTAATTCTGACCAAGGTCCCTTTGGTCCTCCACAGCCAAATCCTCACACAGAAGCATTTAAAAAGGAAAGTTCCAAAGGGAGACTGATCTGAGCAGGAGAACACAGCCATTCGCAATTACCATGGGAATAAAAACAAGGTCAGGGAAGACCACCAGTGCCACCCCCCTCCCCTAAAAGCAGTCCCAAATATTAAATAAAAAACCAAAAGAAAAAGTTAAAAATTAGACTTGAGAGGGTGCAGAAATCCAGTAGCCAATGTGGCCAAGCTCATGGCAACCTCAAGAACAAAAGGTCATAGACTCAAGCTAAAGCGCCCCAAAAAATTGAGAATGTTTTCTATTGCAAACATAGTGGTAGACGGTCGGAACCAATTAAGTGAGGTGGTGGAGGCCAAAACCATCAATAGTTTCAAAGTGTTATATGACAGTACTGGGAAGATGGGACACCATGATCATAGCTCTTATACTGTAACTACACAAGTAATTACACTTAGGTAGTTATGGGGGCCACCATGCAGTTGCAGCAAGCACATATAAAAGTAAGTAAGTAAGTAATTATCAAAAGAAGGCACCAAACCGGGAAGGCTATGTAGCACCATCAAATACGCAAAATAATCAGAGGGCGCTAAATATCACCAAGGATGCCAATACGAGAACAAAAACGCATAAGGCGAACGATATCAAAAGTATCCGAGTCACCAAGAATTCTATCGAGGGACAGGTGACCGCGAGGGGCGGTCGGAAAGCAAGACACACGCTCGTCCTGGAAGTCAGGACATTCAAGAAGGACATGCACGACCGTAAGAGGGACAATGCAACTAGGACAATAAGGAGCAGGGCGGCGCTCCATCAAGTGACCATGGGTTAAGCGAGTATGGCCAATACGCAACCTCGCCAGAGCTGTTTCCCACCGCCGGTTACGGTGGAAGGAGGACTGCCACGAGGAAACACAACATTTAAGAGTATGTAGCTTGTTACCAGTAACAGACAACCAAGAAGCCTGCCAACGGGTAAGGACTGAGGAATGGATAACCGGGTAAAAGTCGGAATACGGAATGCCTTTACGAGAGATGGGACAAGAGCGGACAGCTTCCTTGGCGGCAGCATCCGCACGTTCATTTAAAGACACACCAATATGGCTGGGAACCCAACAAAACTCAACCGACTTAAATTTACTGTGAACGAGAAACAGCCAATGCTGGATCTCGACAACTACTGGATGAACCGGGTTAAAGGACCCGAGAGCCATGAGGGCACTACGAGAGTCAACAACAACTACAAAGGAAGACTGACAACGAGAAAGCAGGAGACGAAGAGCATAGAGAATAGCATAAAGTTCCACTGTAAAGATGCTAGTCTCCGGAGGCAAGCGACACATATAAGTGCGATCAGGAAAAACAACAGAGTAGCCAACACCGTCCGCTGACTTAGACCCATCGGTGAAGACAGAAATGGAGCGGGAGTGAGAAGAAAAGTGCTCGAGGAAAAGGCGTTGTAGAACCGCAGGAGGGGTAAAAGCTTTAGTGATACGGGTCAAGGATGTACAAAACCGCGGAAGAGGGACCCTCCACGGGGGCAAAGAAGGAACAACACGAGGAGAAACATCAGAAATACGAACGGAAAGAGAATCCTGTAGGCGAGATAACCGGACAGAAAGAGGGAGGTGGTGAAGAGGAACAGGAACCGCAGGAGGGGTAAAAGTTAAAGCACGACAGAGGCGAGAGGAAGGATGTTGCAAGGACCGCGCAAGATAGCGAAGACAGTAGCGATCACAGCGGTCCTGGAGAGACAGGAAGCCAGTGTCAACATACAAGCTAAGGATGGGAGTCGAACGAAAGGCACCAGAACTGAGGCGCAACCCAGTATGGTGCAAAGCATCAAGACGGCGAAGAGTAGAAGGAGAAGCAGACGAGTAAGCAGGGCAACCATAATCGAGCTTAGACAGGACGAGAGAGGAATGTAAAGCAAGGAGAGTGCGCCTATCTGCCCCCCAAGAAGTATGGGAAAAGACCCGAAGGAGGGTAAGGGCCTTAGAGCACTCAACACGGAGGTAAGAGATATGGGGAGACCAAGACAAACGAGTGTCAAGGAATAACCCCAAAAGCTTCGCGGAATCTTTGTATTCAAGGGGATGACCATAAAGTGACAAAGAGGGACGAAGAACAACCCGTTTCCGCGTAAAAGTCATGGCACAAGTCTTAGAAGCAGAGAACTTGAAGCCATGATCTGTGGCCCAAGACGACACGGCATCAATTGCAAGTTGAAGCCGGCGTTGAAGGAGAGGCGAATCATCACCCTGACAACAAAGGGTAAGATCATCGACATAGAGAGCGGAGAAGACACCTGAAGGAAGAGAGGAAAGAAGACCATTGAGGGCAACCAGAAAAAAAGAGTAGTGCTCAGAACACTACCCTGGGGCACACCTTCGTACTGCTGAAAAGAGGGAGAGAGAGCGGTACCAAGGCGCACCCGAAAGGAACGACGAGAGAGGAAGCTGCGGAGAAAGAGAGGGAGATGACCACGAAGGCCAAAAGAATGAAGTTGAGATAGGATATGATAACGCCAAGTGGTGTCGTAAGCCTTTTCCAGGTCAAAAAGGACGGCAACAACAGAGGTCTTCGCAGCAAAAGCAGTACGAATATAGACCTCCAAGTTCACCAGGACATCTGTCGTGCTGCGGCACTTGCGGAAACCAAATTGAGAAGGGGAGAGGAGGTGATGGTGTTCCAGGAACCACATCAGACGAACGTTAACCATACGTTCAAAGAGTTTGCAGACACAACTTGTGAGAGCAATAGGGCGAAAGTCCTTAGGGGAAGTACCCAGAGACCCCGGTTTGCGAACAGGGAGGACAACGGCATCGAGCCAGCCCTCGGGGACTGACGACGACTCCCAGATCCGATTATACAGACTCAGTAAATACTGAGACGAAGCACATATAAAAGTGCACCTCATAGGTCTTATCACATCACAACTAATAGAATTAAAGGTAACTATACATAAAAAAAAAAAGTGGATCAATTTCTGTTAAATGAAGCTCAAACTGTAGCTACAAATCTAGGATTTCTTGTGGCATTAAAAACAAATATTGACACATACCTATATTGACAAAAAAAATTGGTTCAGGGTCCCTAAACGAATCTGTCTATGAAGAACTGGGAAAAATATGAGTGGACAAAAGCTACAAGTGAAGCTGCCTGCACCTCTACTCGTGTTATAGTGAGGGTTCTACTACCCAGTGGGGGGGTCGGAGTAGTGAGCAGTAAGCAGAGGAATAACTATCCTTGTGTTTCATTTATTTCTTGAAAGGGGTGTTGGCTTGTGATTCTTCTCTTTGGTGCCACAGCGAACAGTTTCCTTAGTAATGGACTGACTATATATCCATGCCATCTATCCTCTACTAGGTGACAAAACCCTTTTGATAAGATTATTGACACGTTGAAGCACAGGTTAATGAGAGAATGGTGTGAGTCAAGTGTCCTTGGTGGACCCTTGGCTTGAGAAGCAACTGAAAAGGTATTTCTCAGAAATAACAATACTTACACACCTTAAAAATTAATGCAAGCATTTTTTGTACTCTTACTTTTGTTAATATTTATATTATTACATTGCCATTATATAAATATACACTAGACTTGTACATAAATTATTTTAAGTAATTTCCCAGGCTTCAGCATTCTTTGCATTGGTAAAATATGGCAACTACTGTTTTACACCATCACAGACTTCCATAAAAATACAGTGGTACCTCGCATAATGAATTTAATCCGTTCCATGTTCGTCATGTGAAACGGACGTCATACAAAACGAGTGTCCCCCCATGTAACCAGTGTGATGCACTGTGTTTATTGTGAAATTTCCCCAGTGCATGACATCAAATGTTCCCCAAAATAAAAATTTTCTTTGTAAAATGATAAATTACCGTCCCTGAACATGTCTATGTAAAAATAATTACCAAATTCCACTTACTTTGGCTGTGAGGGCGTGGACAAGGTGCGCTGTGACGTCATCAGGGCCTGGTCGCCTGTGTGTGAAGCTCCCAGACACGGTCGCGCAGGCCATTCAAGCACCGCGTGTTGCCACAAATATATTTTCAAATATTTTTTCTATGCGTTTCCAATGCGGTTTTATTTGTTTCTTTTATCGTATATGATGCATATTTGTGACCTTTACAATATGTATACAGTAGAATGTTCATAATTTTCCATGAAACTGTGATACATGTGTCAGTAATGTGTCCACAATAAATGTTTATTGTCACAATATTACGTGGTAAAAATTCACTAATATTACAATATGTACAGTTTCACATACTATTTACACAGTAACACACTGTATTACACACTCAGTACTTTGGAGGTGTGTAATAGTCAACGAAGTAGTCCATGGTACACAGCGCGACTTTGCTCTCCTTGCACCAGCTACAGATAGATTTTTGCTTCCTGTTTCATCGTTATGTGTGCTTGCAAATAACGCACTCGCGTGCACCCTTGGCTTTAGTACTTGTAGGTGGTATGTAGCCAAGCTTGTAAAGCATAAAGTAGTATTGAAACGATTATAGGAAAAGCTCAATTTGTAAGGTAGTCTTGAAAAGATCGCTTTGTAAGGTCCCACACAGGAAGAGATTCAGCTAGCCTCAAAGAGTGTCCATCAGTCAGGAAGAGATTCAGCTAGCCTCAAAGAGTGTCCATCAGTCAGGAAAAGATTCAGGTATTCTTGAAAATATCAATGAACACCACCACCATGGAAGCCGCTAACACTGTTAATCTATGCTACTTGTATCAGATGCATCATCACTGAACGCAGAAAACGATTCATCTATGTATCATCTATATACATTAGAGATGGCAAGGGTGGGGCTCAGAGCTACACCTGGATACGCTTGCTGTATCATCCTCATAGGTGCTGTATCACTGGCATCCGACCGTTGTGTTAAGCCCTTATTGCGCCTAGCTTCACCAATGTTATGACCCTTATGTTCTTCAAACAAAAGGGTCTGAATTACACCGACTGAGCACAGTCTTTCAACACCGTGTGGGACAGGTGTTTGAGAGCCAGAGGCACGTGTGCCACAAATGGTTGCTCACGCACTACTAACCCAGCCAGCAGCCCTTGTCTTTCATATTCGTTATGGCAAAAGGTTCGTTCAGTTTTTGTTGGGTAGGCTGCTCCATTATGACAATCTTTCTTTGTTTCAAATGTGTTCCATTTGTTTTGTATTTGTCACTTACGTCTCAATAATGGAGCAGCCTACCCGACAAACACTGAACGAACCTTTATGACATTTGTCCATTTTTCAAATTGTTTCAACAGTTTTTTTTTTTTTTTTTTTTTTTTTTTTTTTTTTTTTAAGAAACATGGAGCAGCCGACCTGTAGACCACCGAACGAACCTTTTTGACATTTGTACTGGTTTTCAAAATTCTTCATTTTTTTTATTATTTACGTTTTTTGTATGTAAGAAACATGGAGCAGCCTACCTGCCGACCACCGAACGAACCTTTTGCTATAAGGCAAATGAAAAATAAATATTGAACACATTTGAAGAAAGGAAAATGTCATAATGGTTTATTCAGTGTATGTAAGGTAGGCTTCTCCATTATTGAGACGTAAATGACAAATAAAAAACAAATGGAACACATTTGAAACAAAGAAAGATTGTTATAATGGAGCAGCCTACCTGCCGAACACCGAACGAACCTTTTTGACATTTGTTGTATATCAGACATTTCATTTCTTTTTTCCTACAAAAACGTCAATGCTTTGCAACATCTCAGTAGTCACCCTTTTATATCCCAGCATCATTAGCATCTTTAAACAAGAACAACATAATTTATGTGCATCGTCGGAGGCGTCTAAGAATGTGCAAGAAGCAGCGCGACCCCACCATGTGGTGTTGACGTTACTCAAACCAGCGTTCGTCATAAGGGACGATTTGACGCCGATCGGGCCGTTCGTTACCCAAAATATTCGTCTTTTGGGGCAATCGTTATGCGAGGTACCACTGTAATTCACTTAACAGAAACAAAGTCAGATGTAGCTTTAAAGATGGTTGCAGACCTTGTGGAGGCAGCTAACATTATTGCAAAATGACAACAGTATAGTAAATTTAAAGCACAAAACGCTAAACAATTTACAATACTTTTTAATATAAAAAATTACTGATACATGCATCAGTGTATATTGTTATTGAAGTACAACAAGTATTTGTGTAATCCTCATTCAAACAAGGATGGCATGAAATAAAATTTCCTCAATTAAACCCTGAACAATGAGATTTAAACTTTGACCAATCATGACATCTGTAAGAAGTAATGACAAATATTTCAGACTAAGTGCAAGACACTACACCGTAAGTGTCAAACATGCCTCGTGTGGGCCACCTACAGCCTCTCACACTATGAGCACCCAACTAATAAAGTTTAAGCTAAAAATACTGCATGTGAATTAACAAATAACTGTTTTTGTGTGTTATGTATTTTATGTAACAGGATACAATGCACATGAACCGAGAGATAATGAATGGGTTTGAGATTTAGCTTGCACGGTTGATATCACAGAGCACTCAAATTACCTGAAAGCAAGGATGTAATGAATTGATGAAAGTTTTATCATTGTAGAGTATGCTTATGCCTTTGAGATAAAGCTCCAGCTTTTTCAAATATAAATTACTGAGAGAAATCTTTCACACTTTCCAACCTTGAAATTTCTGCAAGATATATCAGAGTGTAATGTTGATACCCGCAGTACTTTTCTGATACACAGAAAAGTACCCTTCAAGATTTTGAAGTTAAAAATTAGTTTCACAAAAGATTTACCAACTTGAAACATCTTCATAAATTTAAAAAAAAAAATTGGAACCCATTCTCTATAGGTATAGAGAAGTATCTATGATCAGTGTCTTTAGTTAAAAATAAAGTAATTATGTTACAATGTGATTCTATCAAGGAGTTCACCTGAAATGTATATATGAATTAGTTTGGTTGGGTCAAAATAAGAGCTGCCCTGCATGGGCAAACAGGCCCTCGGAAATTCCATTTATTCTTATGCTTCAAAATAATATAGTTAGTACTCAAAGATGCAGAAACTATTAGGCCTATGGCTGACTAATGATCACTGGGGATTGCACAGCTTGGTAATCATATGCTCTGGTGATTTTATGGCATCATTTTTCCTGAAATATAAAAGGAAATTAACTATTTTGAAACCGCCAATGTCTGTAGATCGGTAACTGTTCAAAAACGGGGCGACTCGCCCAAGAAAATTTTTATTTAATGCGAGTGATGAATGTCTTTTCAACCATTGATTAAAAAGCTCAAATAATTTAAACTTACCTTGTTCATGCAGAGCCTCAAGAGATACCAAGCGATTTACAACTTCGGGAAGAGCAGAGCAGAGAGCTTCTGTTTTTTTAACCAATTCATAAAGCTCCGATACCTGTCAAAAAATTTAATTCAAGCAATTACATTGTGTTAACAGTACCTTACAAGATATAAAAAACCAGTGTTGAATGTAATGAAATGCCATTTTCTGGGTGAGTCCCGGAGGCTCCCTGGAGCTATCCAGGCTGAATGGATATGTATAACTTTCTGGCATCAGTAAAAATGCTTAGAGTTCTTGCCTACCGGGTACTACGAGCCAGAACCTGGCCCCTTCAAAGAGGCACGAGGAGCAATGGCCTATAGAAATCCCCGCCCCCTCCTGTGGGACCATTCTATGTCTGCCATTGACTGGGACAGGCATCCAGAAAGGTAAGCACCACAAAACAAACCCCTATTCTGGTTAAAATATTGATACTGAAAGTTGAACGAGAGGACAGAACTCCCCAAACAAAATTATCAAACTAGCATGACGTCATCACGTTGCCGCGCCGCCTTCTGCGCAACCCCCCCTCCCCGGGAGGGGGAAGGGGGAGCCCCAGACCATCCACGCCGGTGATCCAACCGGCAGTTCTTAGGCTGGATGTCAAAATACGCGAAAAACACCGCCGACCAGGAGGGAGGGAGGGATGCCTCCGTGACTCACCCAGAAAATGGCGTTTCATTACATTCAATGCTGGTTTTCTAGGCAAAGCCCCGTCAGCTCCCTGGAGCTACTTCACCACAGATACCTCACTTGAGCTTGGTTGGTCAGATTGGCCTAACCAACCAAGCAGCAACCCAAGGACCAAACCGAGGAGGAGAAGAACTAAACAGACCACTCAGGCCAACGACCAGGACGGCACCGGATATGCAAGAGCAGGTCGGAGGGGAAACAAAGCCCAAGACAGCAAGCGGAACGGAGCACAAGGAACAGCAACACTGATCGCATGCTGGAGCGGCTCTGCCAGCACCACCCAAGACAAGGCGACAGTACACAGTACCAGAAGACGGTCCCGGAACAACCCCGAAGGGAAAGACAAGACAACCCTATCAGAGACCGAAGGACCCTTCGCAATGATAGGAAAACCAGAAGGACCGCCAGGAAAACAACACACACACCGCCGCCGAGACGAAGCATGCAGGTGGGAGACTAACAATGAAGCCACCAGTGCCCACACAAGCGACGAGAAACGAGACAAAACCCCGAGACGAGGAACGAACCGGCCCAGTACAGGACGGGACCGACCCGGAAAAAGAGGCTGAGCCACGGGAAAACCCACAGGATCAAAACCGAAGAAAGCAGCAGGGTGCGCCAACGAAGGCAAAAACCAGAAGGAATGGCCGCCAGGGAACCAGGAACCAAACCCCAGCAAGCCGAAAGGAACCATTCCCGAGCAAGCAGACACACCCCGTCTGGGAGGAACCCCCCCCCCAGGACCCCTGAAGGATCAACAAGACCAAACACCGAAGCGGGCAAAGGCCAACGAGGAAAGCGGGCACCACGAAGGAAAGCGCAAGACGTGAAGCGAAAAAGAGCGATCCTGCAACCCAAAGGAGCAGCACAACCAGCTCCAGCAGGGAAGAACAACGCACACGTCTTCGAGGGATACCAGAGGAGAACTACGCAGGACGTGAACCGCAGGAAAATAAAAACGTATGGTCCAGAAAAGGAACAAGTAAAAGCCGGAACCAAGACCGGAATCCCAGCTACCCATCCCAAAGAGGGAACCAGTAAGGCAGGAGCGGTGGACCGGAAGTCCACAACCCCCCACAGACAGTGCAACACAGAAGCCTGCAGTAAGACAAAGAAAAAGTAAAGGAACTCGGTACCGAAACTGAACACCGGGGCAGTCCAAAAAGCAGGGATCGGAACATGGACAGAGGCCCACCTCAGCACCCAACAACAGTACAGCCAATAAGCACTGACCCAAAAGCACAACCAAGAGTAGCTTAGGAGGAAAACAGAAACAAGCAAGGAAAACCCCCGAATACGGACCAAGTAGCAGCCGGGAACGCAATGTATAAGACCAACCACAAAAGTGTGTAGTGGGAAGTCGCACAAACACAGAGGAACACCATGGATACCAGGGTAAAGCCAGGCACCAAAGATAGGCAAGGAAGGAGTGTCCAGAGGAAGGAAAGCCACACACAAGGCATCCAAGTAAAACACACAACACCAAACAACCATGATAGGATCCAGCGACGCAACCCCGCAAACGGGGAAGTGACAGAGTAAGCAAGGATGGAGTACTGAACATGGGGGTACATGCACAAGGGGACACAGGACGAAGCGGAGGACCCCAATGAGCTACAGACACATTATAAAGAACTGGAGCAATGTCAGAGGAGGTAGGAAATGGAATGCACTTGTAAGGGATGTGGTGGAGGCTGACTCCAGACACAGTTGCAAAAATAGATAAGAAAGAGCCCAGGAGGCTCGGGAATCTGCACACCCGTCGACCGACAGTCGAGAGGCAGAACCAAGAGCCAGAGCTCAACTTCCACAAACACAACTAGGCAAGTACCCCACCAAAAGTAAAAAACCAGCACCTGGCCAACAGAGTCGCCAGACAGTACAACCTCACCTGCAGAGCGGAGACACAACCATGCCACAACACAGTCGAGCAGAGTTACATACCAGGAGCATCGCCAGTGGTTTGCCCAAAACGGTATGCACACAAGAGGTAGTATGTATTGTATGTACTGATACCCGAAGAAAAATGTGAATGTGAAGCGGAAATATGTCCAGAGGCGCATGCCCGGCAGAAGACGAGGTGCAGCGCAGAGGTGGAGGTGGTGCCACTCTGAGCCACCCCACACCCGGAAGCAGAAAAAAGAACGAAGCGACTGCCCCACATATAAAATCTAGACCACCCCAGCATCTAGAGGGCTACGACTTGAGAGAGGAGACAAGAGAGAAGCTGTAGAAAAACCGAGATAAACGACGCGGAACACACGAGTATACCGCCCAGAAACAAAAACACCCAGGCCCCAGTGTGCGAGGTACGAACTGCACCACCCGTCCACCAGGTGGCGCAGCTCGTACACCAGGCGGACACACCAATATCATATATACATATACCGTACACACACACATCGTACACACTCATACTGTACATACACATACCGTACATACACCAGCAAGGCGTACGTAACGAATACGAGGAACATCAAAACAGAAAGGAGAGACGATATGAAAACAAAATAAGACGAAAATGAAGTGAAAGAAGACTAGGAGGACGGAGGGGAACTAACGAGTCCAAAAAAAGACCAGACCAAAAAAGACCAAAAGACCAGGGAAATCTCACCGAAAGTCAACCGACGTTCCAATAATATTGGAAGGTACGAAGAGGGTCACGAACCAACGAGACCCACAACAAGTAGGCACAAATATACGGAGGCACATACGGACAAAAAAGACACCCATGATCAAGGTACATGCATGGACGCCAATACGAAGGGAACAGTATTGCGATGGAAGTGTGAAAAGGATGAGGAAAAGGGGGTGAAACACCCCCAGGAATGACGGGACCGACGAACTCTATGGAACACGGAACCGAACCCAGGGAGGGGTAGACCCGAAACCAACATGAACGCAGAGGGGGAAGGAAAATCCCCACTCTGAGGAACTGCAAGCCCCGCACCGAGTGTACAAAGACCCAAGCGGGGCAAAACGGGGTTGAGGCCCTTCAGGCAACCCCTCCCCAAGCCCGGGAACTACGACGGCAGGACTCGGGGCCAAGCCGTACCTCCAAAGCCCCAGCCTCATAAGAAAAAGCCGGGGCAGCCGTGCAAAACACTACGGAAGGGAGCCCACTGGTCAGACCCATACGGCACGGCTGGAGGAAGAAGCTCGAATGCCTCCGCCGCCATCCCGGAAGAGGATAAAAACCCCCGAGACTGCCCAAGTCTCAACCCAACCAAACTCAGCTCGAACCCCGCCTACGGTTCGGAGCCGGGGATGAAGTTTGCACAACAGAAGGGTAAGGACTAGGAGGAGCGGAAGGAACCAGTGCCGAAGCGACCCCCACTCCCAAGTCCGGACCCCTTCACCCAAAAACTGGGCAGTCTCAGGGCATCCGGGGCCACAACCAACCAAGAGTGTTGCTTCAACCTAAACCTAGCATGCAACCGCTTATCATGACCATCGGCCTAGGTGAATGAGAGCAAGTACAGACGACACCCGTCGTACGACTCTGGGTCAAAAGAACCAACGACCCAACAGGCAGCAAGGCAGAGAAAAACAGATGAGTGTCACCCTGAGGCAATGGGACAGTGCAACCTTCAAACTCGCAAGACGCGAGGGGGGGGGATGCAGAGGTCACATCCAACGGACCACAGAGACTTTGTGGGGTTTCCCAGGGCCCTTAGCCTTGGTTACACGCTAAGGGAATCCCAGGTAAGGTACTGCGACCCGGCGCCCAAGTCTACCAAACAAACTTCTAAAAGCTGAACCCCCGGGACGTGTCCACTCACTGGGGCCAAGCGAGGAGTACCACCAAACAGAGAAATATATATAAAAGACCCCGAGAACAGCAAAGGGGGACCACATAGGCACACCCCCCCACCAGGCAAAAATAAAAGAAAAACCCCGCAAGAGGAAAACGTACCCAGGCAGAACAGAGCCGGCCGCTGTTATTGGTGAAAACTAGCTGTGCAGTATCCTGCGCCCCTACCAGTGACAAAAACTACCCCCAACCCAGAGACAAACAAGGGCAACAAAACCCCAGCCGACTCCAAGGGTGGCCCAGTACCGAGCAGTAAAGGACACAACAGAGGTAGAACCCAAGGCGACTTGTGGAAGGTGGCCCCAAGCCAAAAGGGCAGTACTTACAGGGCACCTAGGGAAGAGAGCCCTAGGCACATGCAGCCCGAGTACTGTAGAATCTCACTCCTGGTTCACACCCCCACCGGTAGAGACAGCCCACACCACAAGGCATAGAACTGAAACAAAACGGAGCCAAAGGCATTTGACCGGCCATTAATCATATCAGCCAAGAACTGCCGATTGGATCGATGGCGCAGATGGTCTGGGGGTCCCCCTTCCCCCAACCGGGAAGGGGGGGTTGTGGCGCA